TTCTCTGATTGAATATTAAAGGTTGGTGACCTGTAACTTGAGCATTTTCAAGTCAAAATTGCGAGAGAAAGGGTCTGTTGGAATATGATTGCAATATGTTATTGTTGAGTAGTTTTAAAATTGTTCTATTTGCGTGCAAATTTCGTTTGCAAATTTATCGAAATCCCCAACGAAAATTATTTCATCTGCTGGGATTATTTTTTGATGTCGTTGTTTTATTCTGTCGCGCACTTTACAATACGAAACAAAAGTAATCATAGCTGACTAATAAAAATAAATATTTCACTGGTATTCAATGCCTGATTACAGTCGAATGTTTATATAGAGTTTTTATTTAAAATTATAGGTATCCTCTCCACATGTATGCCAAATGTTTCTCAACATCTGCGACCGCACTCGGTTTCGAACTGCCAATTATGGTATGAAAATGTGCGGCATACATCCACTCGGTTTACGTCTAGCAAGAACTGAACAATTCTATCAGCAAAGATCAAATAGCCGGAGGCAAATTTAAGAGCGAATTCTCAATCTTGCGCTAAATTGACCTTTTATCTTAAATACCTGAATTTCTCCAATTACATTATGTTTAGGTTGAAGGGCAGAGTTCAGAGGTTAACACGATTATTAGTGATTGTGTGGTAATAATCGACCGCAGAATTTGACCCTCACTTCCCGCTCAATTTTATTCGAACGCTTTTACAATTTTACTGCAATAAACAACTTGTCAATAATTATCCTTTATTTATGTCAAAAAATTCACGATTCTACGCAATTCAGGATAAAAATCTAAACTTTTGTACGTAAAACGAAAACTTATTAGAATAGGTATCACATTGACTGAATATGCCAAAAAAAAAAAAATTCTTTCGAGTATTGAATCCATGCAGGTGTAATTGCATGTTATCGAACTATGATTTGCCCCTTCCCGCATGGAAAAATGTATGTGTAAGTTGGATTTTACTTTTGTGAATGAGAAATTTTCAATACGTTAGCCCGCAGTAACTGATGTACGCGATAAAGAAGTATGCCCGTCGGAACTAGAAGAAATATATTCGTCGATTTATGTCTATATATAGATCCACACAATAAGTATTTCCCGAATAATGTAAATTAAACTAAATTACCGTAAACACTCGGATATAAATACTCATAATTACGGTACAATCGGTATATCATGTAATAATTTTCGCAGTGTTTTATTCAATATTAAAAGACACTTGAACAAAGAAAAAGAAACCTGTCGTGAACATTCCACATTATCCAAATTGGAAAACGCGATATTGGAGGTCTAGACTCCAGATCAATTCACAATTTCCTAACTTCTATTCGAAAAGCTATGATACTGCGAATATTTCACCAACTGCAATATTTTTTGCAACATGTTCTGAAATTAGACACCCCAAGTGTTTAATGTTTGTAATTACGCATTGCAGTCTGCTTTTGTCAGGGTGGTGGGTGACGGTATTGAGAACACGAATAAAATCCTTCTGTCCGCCCTATTAGAATTAATTGGTTCATGATTCTTTAAATAAAGTACCGATTTTTAGCAAAACTAAATTTGATAATCGCAAGGTCATTACAATCATCATTGGTCAAGCTCACTGCAAGGACAAAATTTGGTTGTTGCTCACGCTCTGGTAAATGGATTGCACTCGAAAATTTGGTACTCCCGTAGTATGTGTACCACGTTAGTCTTAGATCATAATTTTAGTCCGATTTTCCCTATTTTAGTTCTATTACGAGTTCGGGGACTGTCTGTGTTAGCCAAGTGAATATACCCCCTGCCCGTAGGTTTCAGACTTCACACAACTTGATATAAAGTAGGCGAACAAAATTAGTTACCTCCATATTCGTACACATACCTCGAGAGCGCCGAAAATTTTGTAGTTTTTCAAAGTGATACCTATATATATTTATATATGCCTATCATGGACCATTTGCTCTTCAAGGGTGGCACATGTACTAACTTCCTAATTTTTGTCTGGTATCTTTTAGCGCTGACATGGGCAAACTACGTCCCGCGGTCCAAATCCAGCCCGTTAGGTAATTCAATCTGACCCGCCTGATGTCACCACAACCAAACTAACTCAAATTTTGATGTTTTAGATAAAAATAGCTCAAGGAATTTGTTGAGATTGCGATTAAATTTAGTTTTGGCACGAGGCTTATTGTTTTCTACTTCTATATAGGGTGGTGTATTTTGAAGTAATCGAAATTTTAGAGATATCCATTTTGACGGATGGTTAGCTGTGACAAAAGCCTTTATGCTCTGCATGACATGACAGCTATAAAACAGAAAAGCAAACTCACAAATCCCGACTGTCTGGCGAATTTTATGGAAAGCAAACAAAATACTATTTAATTTTATAGGACTGCAAATTTTGTGAATTTTACGAGAATTCCCGGGATGTGTAGCATTTGAGTTGAAGATAAAATTATTTGAGAAAAATGTATAGAAAATAGTAAAATAGCATAGCATACCTAACATAAGACATGGCATTCCTATGAACATGTGGCATGTCTAATTCACCTCCAACGCCTGACTGTGCATGTTTCGTATTTTTGGTATAAGCGGTAGCCTGCCACACAGTTAGATAGCGAGACAATCGCATTTCAAAATTTTTATATTTCATATGATATTTGATGGAATATTGTTTTATACCTTGTTCATATTTCACAACCCATTCAATGGCGCCCGTTTCAACTTTTAACCTAAAATTAACAAAAGAGATTTGATGTTAAAAATTTATTATCACATGTAGTATATTTAAATGCAAAACGCATGTTCGATTCCTAGTAATCACTGGAAGCTCAAGTTTGATTTAGAGGGCAAAAATATTCGGAAATATTTACTTGTGTGTCTGTTACTGACACACCCACTTTTGTCAAAACCGTTATCTTTTATGAAATAGTAAACAATGGAAACCAGTTGTAAAATCTAACGACTAATTCAAGTCAGATTTTATGTATTCACTTTTTATATTTGACAGTTTTAACAATAAAAGTACTTTGCCAATTGACGTATGTCAGTCTTTGAACGTCGCTTAACTTATTGACCATCACCACCGCATTAAGTATTTAATAAATTCCATAACATTAAAACACATTATACTGAAATTTTGCTTTATGCTGCAGATATTGTAAGTTTTCATGTTTTGACGCAGACTGCCTAGTGTTAACTGCTTCAATAAAAATTTAATGTTACACTTTATAAATTATGAATATATATAAAGAAATCAAATTATAGTTTATAAACAATATGTGTAGCCCAAATTCACATATGTCGTTAATACGGGTTTTCAATGGCCTTCAATAATTCGAATATGCAAACGTTCATTGTTTTTATTTCTAACTATTGCTGTCACCAATTTCAGCTATCGGAATATTTATATTACTGTGATCTTGAAGTCTCAATTAGCCGCCATTTCTATTCGGCATATTACCAATTATGAATATGCATAATAGAAGATTTTAGAATTACCGAAGATTAACTGGATTCTAGATTGTTTTGTATGAATTTAATTTCCAATTATATACCTCAAATGACACTAGTTAAAATATATTATGCCGAAGATAGTGATCTACTTAGCAGTCCGAACCTAAGTTATATAAAATTTTTCATACTCCAATCTCAATATGCACCAATGGAAAACTAAAACTCTTATCAAACTAGCCTATTCATGATTCTGAATGGTCGATGTTACAACTAGGTCGAATGTCACTGTGTGAGTAGATATTTTAGATGTGATCATCGAAGCTCCTTATCACCCCCCAGTGGAATTTAGTTGGGCATGCAAGAATAATTGCAGTTTAATGCCAACTAAATTGAAGTAAATTATTTTTTTAAATGAATTAAATTTTCAATGGAAAAGTATAACCTAAAACTCAAGCTTTTTTATATTAAAGTATCCAGCGAAATAGCGATCAGATTCCATTAGATCTAGTAAATTATAGTTATAATATACTGCAGCGCAGTTGTATTCAATATTTGCTGCTCATATGTTAGGGCGTTTCATATTTGGTGACAGAAGGCGGGCGCAATCCTCCATTTTGTTTTAGATTATAAATAACGAATTAAATTAAACCTCTTGACTGCCGCGCGTGACCTATCGCTTCTTTTCTCCGTGCGCATCTGTGATCCAACAATAGACCGCTTGTGACGTCACAGCTTCCAGGTGTTTCATTCCAACTAAAATCAACAACTATAAGCTAAATACACAAAACGTGTTTTATTTCGTAACAATCGAATAAATATGGAAGAAGAAACGCTGTATTTCTAATATTTCAACAAGTCTGTCTTTTCAAGTTAAAATTTTAGATTCTCTTACATGACACGAATCGTATAAATATCGGTTGACCACGTTCATCGTTTGCTAACTGTTTATATGAGTTGTTAACGGTAACCATTTCTTTTAAACGGCTATTGTAAGGTTGTGGCGTAATTCTAAAATCAGCGTTGCCACCAATAAAAGGCCTCAATGTGCTGGTAGCTATAATATCGCACCGATTTCAAAACCACAAAAGCAGAAACGAGACAATTTCATAATCGACATAACCCAGCTAATGGAATAGTCTCTATTTAACAAACTGACTTGAATTTTTTACATGTTTGTTTGCCAAACTTAGATTTTGGTTTGCATTCTCATCTTAGAAAAAAAATTATGAGAAAAAATTGTACGCCCGTAGTGTGTGTACCATGTTTGGGTTAGGCCATAATTTTATTCCGATTTTCTTTATTTTAGTTCTATTGCGAGTTCGGGGGCTGTCTGTGTTAGCCAAGTGAACATACCCCTGTCCATATAGGCTTCAGTTCTATTACACAACTTGATGTAAAGTACGCGAACAAAATTAGTTCCCTCCATATTGGTATACACACTTCTGAAGCGGCGACAAAATTTCCTGCATACACATGTTGGTTTTGTAACGCCAAAAACAATCTGTAGAACAATGTTAGGACATTGCGTATAGATTTCTCAATAAGTAAATTTCTTTTATTTCAGGCTACAGTACTGCTATAGGTGCTCGGGACCCATATCTGGGACAGAACTAGTAATGCGTGTCAGCACGGACTCATATCACGTATCATGCTTCTCGTGCGATTACTGCAACAGGCAGTTGAATGTAAGTTTAGATTATAAATAGTGCATATATTTCGTTTTTCATTTTTTTCTAACTTTCTGACAAACTTTCAGAGCGGTGACCATTTCCATTCTCTGGAGGAGTTAGAAAAACGAAAAATTTGTTGCAAAATTTGTTACGACATTGATGACGTAAGCAATTTAAGAGTAACTGAATCCGATTCTGAAGAATCATGTAAGTATAGTGCAATGTTCCCCACAGTTTTTCATTTTAGAGCTGTTTCCAAATTTAGTGAGAGGTAGATATTTTGCTATTGCCGGAAAATATTTGTAACATTGTAAAAATGTGTTATGTATTTGACTGACAGACTCCACTGGTATGAACGCCACTTCTTGTATATTCAAATACAATTAAATTCAAGATTTAGGGTGGGTGTAGGAAAATCACTAGTATGGTGCCATATGTTTCCATTTTTCCCGCAAAATCTTGTAACTAATCCTTGTTTTTATTTTCAGTGAATGACAACGATGTATTTGGGCCAGGGATGTATCCTCCTCCGGCAAGTCATCCATTTATGCCTTCGTCGGCTCCACCAGCGTATAATAGACAATTATCAGGTTAGTGGGCAAGACCAATTACGCTATTACTCATGCTAACTATTGTGACATTCGGAAGCGATCGAGTTTTAGCGTTGACTCGACGACGCATCATGCCATGCGTTAGGAATTTCTTGCCACCGCACCTCGTCTGATTATCCAGCGCAACCCTCTGGTTGTTCCACGTTACCGATGGTTGGTTATGGCTTCCTCTACCATCAAGTCCATGCACCTGAAAACAAAATAGCTGTCTCGAGTATCCCATACCCGAAATGGACTGGTAACTGCATGGACGAGAGGCCGTGGTACTCCATATGATTTAGCCGTCTTATCGGCTTTCCTCTCTTCGGTATAAAAATGATATTTTTAGCCTCTAATAATCTCATATATTGTTTTTAGATTATCCTCCCGGCTTACCTCATCCCCACATGCAAGGAGTTGGGATCCCTTGCGGTAAAAACGGAAAATCACCGTCGTCATCGTCCATGCTCTCCCCGTCGGACTCCAAACGTTCAAAAAGACCGAGAACAATACTAACAACAGCCCAGAGAAGAAAATTCAAAGCTTCATTTGAAATTTCACAAAAACCATGCAGAAAGGTACGATGACTGTATTTAAATGATGTTATATCCTATACTCATGGAAAAAATTCAATATACAGATTGAGTGTATAACAATGTTAATTAAACAGTAATATTATTTTCCTTTCTGTTTTGCGGTCGTACATATTATGATAAAAAGTTAGAATTTGGCTCGAAAGAGATAAATAACAACTAGTTGCCCAATGAAGCCAGTTTGTGATGGAGTGGGCGGATGAATGGAAAATTGTATAAGAATATTTTGTAATTGCAAATCATACTTCCGATATGTCTTAAATTTCCCTAGCTATACAAGTACGACACAATTATATTTTGCGATTCATGTTACCAAATGCAATTTCTGACAACGCCATGTTCAAAAACAGCGTCATGCTTCCCTGATGTTTCAAAATAAACATGTCGGAATGAATACTGATTTGAGATTTTATTTTACAGGTACGAGAAACACTGGCGAATGAAACAGGACTAACACCAAGAGTCGTGCAAGTGTGGTTTCAAAACCAAAGAGCAAAGGTGAGTTACTTTTTGAGGCGCTCCAGAAGTGTATGTACCAATATGAAGGTAACTAATTTTGTTCGCCTACTTTACATCAAGTTGTGTTAAGAGACGGAAGCTTATGGGCGGAGGGTATATTCACATGGCTAAAACAGACAGTCCCGAACTCGTAAAAGAAATAAAATAAGGGAAATCAGAATCAAATTATGGCCTAATACTAACCTGGTACACATGCTACGGGAGTACCCATTTTTGAGTCTAAACTAGTGTTCTGATGGCCTATAAGACTTAACCTGCAGATGTCATCGAGTAAGAATATTGACGTTCTATGATAAATACAAAATTTAGTCGCTACCACTCGTCAAATGCAAAATAAAAAAGCTTTCAGTAGTCATTTACACTTTAAAATGTTTTGGTTTCAAATCATTCAGATGAAGAAAATAGCAAGGCGTCAAAACCAGGGTGAAGGAGGATCAAGGAGAGGGAAACGGAAGAAGGATTGTGATTCGGATTCTGAAAGTGAGTAAAAGGACCTGGTGGTTATCATGTTTGTTTCACAGGATAGATATAAACATTTCCGTATCTTAACTACACAGATGATCTACTGAAATGAGTCTTTTATTACCGCTTCTCTTCTTTTCCTCGCGCACTGTATTGGGCGTTAATTGATAGAAAAATATTGATGTAAGCATATTTTGACTGTCTGTGATGAAACCCAATTGGGTGCTATGGGTATATTATATATATATGAATATATTATTTTATGTAATGTATAAAGAATTACTTGGTATAGAACTACATGCGAAACATCTCAACGTTTTACAGACTTCTTTCTCAAAAGTCCACATGAATATATTGTGTTCTTACAATATATAGTGTTGTATAGTTTAGTAGTACAAAATGTCAACTATATCAATGTCAAGGTTTGACACAGATAGTAACTTCTCCACTAATGACTATTCCATGTTCTCGCAATGTTGATTGCTTTATAGCTTAAAATAGTGGAAGCATGTGATATAACTCCACTAAAAATTTTAATTCTCGCAGACGAGGTTCCATCGAGTCCCGGTTCTTATACATCGGCACCGACTCCTCATCAACAATCTCAATATTACGCACCAGATCAATATCAGTCGCCACGTAGCTTGCAATCAACTCCAACTCAAGATGACCCCAATGTTCCAAGACTATTCTCACCAGGGGGATATCACCAACCAGGTAAAGAAATAAGAACGCCTTCTAGTCCAGAGAATCGCAACTTTTCAGACCGCGCCCCCTTTTTTAGAATTTATAAAGTCTCGCGCCAATTAACTAACTATAAGCTACAAATAACAATAGAAAGCGTAAGTATGTTTTATTCAAAAAACACGTTGAAAAAGAGTCCACGCAACCTAAACACCCCAAAAAGTATAAAAAATCCAAAATAAGGCGGATAAGATCAAATCTGACAAATACTTTTATTTTCAATTAGATTCACGCCCCCCTCATAAAATTGTCTACACCCTCTCATGGAGGCGCCGCACTGTTTGAGAACCATTAGTGTATATATTAACCAAGTTTAACGTTAGGACAAACGAATCAGATTACTTGATAATACATAATGAGAAAAGTTCAATTAGCAAGCAGTCACAAAAATCATTTTGAAAAGTGATTCCGTGTGTACTTGAACGCATTTGGTAATTTGCACTCAACAAATTGAGAACCTTGGAGACGTTTTGGGTCAAAGATGAACGATGAACTGACCCAGCGTGAGATCTGTAATAATGTAGAACAAAGCGCTGACCATTGAATCTGCAAAGCTGTGCAATACGATCGTTCTTAACTACACATTCATATTGCGTCCATTTTTTACTTCAGGTTTCAATCATAGCGAGCTCCAATACCCAGAGGAATACGATTCGTCATCGACACATCATTCACATATTCATATGAATCCTTCCCCAACCACTTCACATTCCCCATCACAGCTAGAGATGCACGGAATGCTCTACCAAAGAATAGGTGGTGGAATGCTGAATACTTCATACGAACACCCACCGCTCGACGCTATGCAGCACGATGACGTAGACTTACACAGAAACGAGGCAGTCCCAATGGTTTTCCATGGGACCATTAATCAAGACCCATACGCGACACAGAGACACCAGGATGTGGTCGATATATCTCGGGAGCGCACACTGGTTAATGCTTCCAGCGCGGGAGTTTCAAATCCAATTGACAGTCTGATGTGCATGCAAAACAATTTCTTCACATCACATTAACAAACATGACCTCCAAGTTAATAAATGTAACTTTAAATAATACAATGAAATAGTATTATTCGTCATTAAAACAGACGAATTAAATGAAAATTTTCTATTTATTTAAGCATATATAACTACATATCTCCTTACCGAACTGGTGCTAGCCGTTGAGAAAAAGGCGGTAAACTTGCGGCCGCCATCTTGTGAAAACTTTACCTTCGAGTACCAAAGTCTTGATTAGCTTACTGTGACAAAACAATTCAATCCTGCTCGACGACCCAAAGTATATCGTTTTATGCGATAATCATCGTCAAATTTTATTTATACTTTATTAACGTTGTTGTGACTTGAGTTATCTATGTAGCTTTGAGTTCAGGAATATAAACTTTCAAAAAGAATACCAATTGATATAATAAATTGATAAAGTAGCACGATGCGCTACTGAACCACAATTGTGTACACTAAATCACATTCAGAGTTTACGGGTTGGTCATAATAACATGTCACAACGTGCTTCGTGTTGTTAGCTGGCATCATGAGGTGCCCACTTTCGACTCCGTACATACAAAAGAAATGTAAAAAATCCACAATTTTGTAGACCATTTAGGTATTCAATTCGTTGCTTAAACGTCATAATGACTATAGACTGTTACTGGAAACTTGCTACAAGTTTCACAACGTAACCGTCAATGGTTTACCTGCAATATTTGCAGTGCACCGGTTTTGTGTATCTTTTCCCTATTTGGTAGAACCATTAATGCAACTTAGCAAAGTCGAGACACATTCATCGAATACACATGTTGTAAAAATAATTTTTTTTTATAAATCAATACAAGAACGAAATTGCCTATCTTCTCATTGTTTTCAAAAGGTGAACCTAAGATATTTTAAATGTTTGTCAATGTATAACGCACGTATCCAAAAATGTATTTTCGATCACATTGAAGGTATTCATAGATAAATACTTTTATGAGTATTCGACTTCGAGTATAATTGTCAAATAAAAATATTTAAATCTTCGGAAATGACATGGTTATTATTCAATCTTAGACAAATTTATTTTTTCTTCTTGAGTGATTGAAAAATATATTTTTGGATGAAATAAACGCTCCCAAAGCTCACGAATTTTTAGTCAAATTATCACGATCTTGTTAAATATTAATTTATTAGGAAATTTTTCCTGCAGTATTTTTATTTGTATTTTTGCTGCCTTTGCTATCGTAACTATTTGTGAATGAGAATATAAACCAAATTTTCGTGTCCTGTAAGTTTGAGCCACAGCAGTTCAGAGCAGAAAACGCCGCTCCAGAAGTATGTGTACCAAAATGGAGGTAGGCTAACTAATTCTCAACTGGTTCTCAACCTTTTATCAAGCGACCCAAATATTTGAAAAAATTAATTATGTAATATCTCGCGACCCAACGATATGCTCACATACGATACAAAACCGCATCTAGTGCTTTTATAGTCGCAGAATTAAATTACTAATAAAAAATAATTATTTTTACATAATATTTATCTCAACAAATGGTTAGCCATCAGCGAGTTATTGAAATCATTGCGTGGTTTTAAGCACAATAGATGCTGTCAGTTTTTTACGCTGTGATACTTAGCACATATACCATTACTATTGAGCAACACTTCAAAACCAATTTAAAATAGACAATAAAATTGAAAACAATATAAAATCAGTTATTTTTATAATTTTCTTTAAAAAAAGGTGACTTAATGAGATTTTCAGGCGCCCCAGTTTTGGTTCGCGACTTATAGGTTGGGTACTAATCTAGGTACTCCCGTCGTGCATGTAGCAGGTTAGGGTTAGGCCATAATTTTATTCCATTCCAATTTTCCTTATTTTAGTTCTATTACGAGTTCGGGGACTGTCTGTGTTATCCGAGTGAATATACATAATGACCATAGGTTTCAGTTCCTTTATACAGCTTGATGTAAAATAGGTGAACAAAATTAGTTACCTCCATATTGGTACACACACTTCTGGAGCACCCTACTCTGGGGTATGTTCTTTCATTTCATATATGCGCCCAATATCCTATCAATTCTTCTCACTTTCCAATTCCGTGAAATGTGAATGTTTTAGTGCAGGGGTCGGTAACCTTTTTGGTCAAGAGAGCCATAAAATATACATATATTTTCAATTGCATTCCCGTGCGAGCCATATAACATTTCTTCACTTAATCGGGCCTGAAATGTTTACTCAAAAGTCAACACATGCAATGTCAATATACATTTAATGAGATTTCTGATGCTGCATGTAGTCGCTGCGGGCCTTGAACGGTTGCTCACTTGCAGCCCAAGTTGAAATCTACGGTACTCATCACCCTTTTTCGTTTAGGCATCTCCGTAGTGTTTTTAAAACTCTATCGCTTTGTGATGTCACAATATATGTTCCAGAATCCCCTTGTTTGTCACAATGCCTGTCTGGTGATTATCTTACATAACATAGACATGTGCTGGGCGCGCGTTCTCAAACGTATTGGGAATTTTCTGCCAAAATTGGCTATAAAAGTGTTTGAAATTTTGTAACAATAGTAAGCTTAGTCTTAGAATATTAGATTTTTCTGGGAGCCATATGCCGTCACCAAAAGAGCCATATATGGCTCGCGAGCCATGGGTTCCCGACCCCTGTTTTAGTGTAACAGGATCCGCTAGTAGGCGACAGAGAGACGGGTAGAACAAGCATCGTCACGTGACAGTGACGAAGACTTAAAATTCTGTTGAGTGTTGAAACTTTTCCATGAAAAATGAGTTTGTTGACCAAATAAATTTCTTATGATTTGGAATATACAAATATTTGGATTTCCAGATGAAGTATATGACGTATGACGAGGTGAAATTAACATCACTGTAAAGCCTAAACTTACTTAAGAGTTAAGTTATTAGTAAGGTGACTTAGTAAACATTATCAACGTGTCACGACTAAAAAACAATAAGAATACAAAGCTCTTATACGGACAAATATTTTCATCAATGGGCGATAAACATGAAACATTCGTACATAATGTAATAAAAAAACTCAAACCCCAATAAAATTAATCATATTGCGTTAAATGTTAATTCTCGCATCGATGCTAATAATCTTTAATAAGTACTGACAAGAATATACACGACAATTTGAGTTATTGATAAGCCCTTATACGCAATAAAGCAATGGAATATCTAAAATGTGACAATAGGTAATACATTCTCTTGTGCTTTCTAATTTTGATGGATACTGAAATTGAGGAGATTATGCATAGCATTATCAATACATTCGGAAATAAGAAGAAAACTTTTTATAAAATAAGGTGCTACTGAATCCCAGATTTTGTTCGAGTGTTTCATATGCACTTAAAAGCATTGCGTTTTATGCAATGATAATTTAAAGATTGATTAAGGTGAAACGACCAAATGAGAGTTTTCTAAAGTTTATGAAAACTTTCGAATCTTTTGTACATCACCACTAACCCCAGCTGGATAATTACTAATTTGTTATTTTAAAACGTGGCTGGTGTTTTTCTGAAATCCCACCTTTTTGCATTAGTGGCGGGCGCTTTGTACAAAATATTCGAAATTTTATCACTATACCCTACAAATAGTTCGTTCAGCAATACCTCAATGATCGATACATACTCAAATTTTTTAATTTTAGTTTTAGATTCATGCTTATGACCTCATAATTATATACTTCTTTTTGTGACGCTATAATTATTTAGTATTTAGTGGCAGTATCGCATTGAATTCTAGATGTCCGTAATGTACCGTGCTAGTGATTATCGCCCCGGGGTTAATCGCGTCCTAAGTATCATATCAAATGTATAAAATGAACCATATTTAAGCACACATAATGCCCATCAATTACAGTGATATTTATAAATCTTTTTGGTCTTGAAATGCAATTCCTCGACTGATTTTCGAATTTTCGATATCTCGCCAACACAGGGCATCTCAACGTATTATTTCTAACTATAAAATCCGTCCGCCCAAATATCAAAGTATTGACTTAAGAGTTTTAAAAAACTAAGTATGTCACAAGGTTCTCAGAAATATCCTTGGTTTCTTTAAGAAAAGGATATAGGAAAGAATAATCAACCTGGTGTGCAATTTATCATGGTCCTAAAACCCTAGAGTAGAGCTAACATGGGCAAACTACGGCCCGCGGGCCAAATCCGGCCTATTGGTTGAGTCAAATTTGGCCCGCCTGATGCAGCCACAATCAAACTAAAACCAAATTTTATTGTTTTAGTAGAAAATAGTTCAAAAAATTTGTTGAGATTGCGATCAAATTTAGTATGGACATGAGGCTCACTGCATGTTTTACACTTTTGCGTTTGTAACACTGTAAATATTGTGCATAAAATGTAACTTTTTACGTGACACTCACATGGCACGCCATTCTAGATGGCCGAGATTTTTTGCTCTGGTCTAAAAACCTTATCCACCCTTTCTCTAAACTAGAGAGACACGGGGCTATTGTCATTTACAAATATACTTCTGCTGATAAATTTGCCATTTTTTTTTAAATCTATATCAACCCAACGTATATATATTATGACATTCATCTTTGGGACAACTTGAAATATTTTCCAATGAATCGAAATGTTCTATATCGCAAATATCGTTTCCTTGGGCTATTTCTTGTTTTCGGCTATACGTGGATGACACCTACTTGGAATGTTTCTAAGAAAATTTCAGGTATTTAGAGCCGATTTGCCTAGAGTCATACGCTGTTTGTTGCCATTCTGAATATGATTAGCCGCGATTAAACCAGATTACATGTTGTGGCCAATATCGAATCAAATCATCATTTATATATATAACATCTAGTGGCGACAGAACAAGATGTGTAATAATTTCTAACAAACATTGATGAGAAATGGCTGGATAATCCCTCGCTAAAAACAATAACATGTCTTCAGTATGTTCTAGTATATCTATAATATGTAAATGTCACCTAATGAAGTTTTTGATAATTCTTTTTAAAATGAACTTCGGTGCTATGACTCTGGAAATTTAGTTGGTCATGAGCTATTTCAATTTTTCACAAAGTGATATTGTCTGGTAAAATGTTACCAGACGTATTGTTAAGTGTGGGGTTCGTCAAAAATCACGAGAAAGATAGAATTTTACAAACAAACGTGATACAAAACAAACTGCTTAAGTCTCGAATTCAGAGTTGAACGCGTGAGTTTGAAATAAAGTACGAATGTATTGAACTCAATTTAATGATTATCATGAACTCACAAACAAGGGCGTATCACATGCAAACAAAGAAAAAAACTTGAGTTTGTAGAGACGTGTCAACTCGATATCTCAACCTCTGTCACAATGGTAAGCGACGTCGTTTGATTGGCAGAAAATGTTTGATGTTCCCACACCTTGTATTGTGTTTTACAACGGATAGTTTTACAATTTCTAACGGTCCGATCAAACAAAATAAACGAAGCATAGCGGCAAGTATCACAAAGAACAATTGAGAAACGTATACTGTGGCCCCTCTATTCAACTGGTATTGAATGGTACAAAATATGTTATGGAATTTTGTCGAGTCCAGTTGATAACACGCGCGAGATGCCCTGATATTTTATCTTACGGTAAACCTTTCGATTATTTTTGTTGTTTCTATATTTGATGTATTTGGCGGTAGGGTTAGTGTTTACGAACACATGCTCGTTATTGGGCGCTCCACTAGTGTGTTTTTATCAATATGGAGGTAACTAATTTTGTTTGTCTACTTTCAAGTTATGTAAAGAGACTGAAACCTATGGGAAATGGGTATATCCACTTGGCAGTCCCCGAACTCGTAATAGAACTAAAATAAAAAAAAATTGGAATAAAATTATGGACTAACCCTAATCTGGTACACACACTACGGGAGTACGCATTATTGTAGTGGCCAAAATT